ATAGTAGTGGATCTTAGACAAATGGGTTGGAACCCAACCTGAACCCGGTTGACAAAGAAACACACTAGATCTGTTAATCCTAAACTTCCTGCTCCTTTGACAAAACAAGTAAGTCCCATAAGTACTAACAAAAGCAAGAAATAATGGAAGGAACAATTTTGCTGTTTGTCCTTCCACTTCCTCCTATGATTTTTCTTTATTTTCCTTTTTTAATTTTTCATGTAAGAAAGATATGGCATGCATATATCAGACAACTCAGTTCTTTAGCATGTGTGTAAGATATATGACACAACTTTTTTTATATCCATGGAATCTTTGGTTTCACTACAAACAAGATTTGAAACATTGGTTCGCATCTTACTCACTAGACAAAAAGGCAACAGTCTTAGGTCCCCCATAACATATTGTCTCCAGATGGAAGGTGATGTAGCATTATATATAGTGTTCTAAATGAGTCACTTGACTAAAACAAACGACGCAAATGCAGATCAACACAAAGGTGAGAGGAAAAGCTAACAAACAATAAACAAACTTAGCATAAAGTACAGTAATAAAGACTAAGTTCAAGCTAAACCAGAGGGACATGAAAAGTTCCCACACGTTTTACAGAACTGTAACGAGCAAAATACTTTTCAAATTAAATTGCTATGAATTAAATTTTGCAAAGAACTTCTGATTGAAAACCCTAAACAAAACCTAGATTATAAACTATTTGTCAAACTCCAAACCTGAGAAGAAGCAATTGAACAGAGAAGATATGCGGTGACCTTCGCTGAAGGCAGGAGATGATCGAAGGATGGATCTGATACGCCTCAAGGTTGGAGTTCGCTGAAGTTGAGGTGGGGGAGGAAGCGCTGACTTGAATCCCTTGTCAAAGTCAGAGTCCAAACTTCTGTTGGTTGTCGCAAGCAGAAGATAGAGACAGAGGAAGTGAAATTTGATGTAGAACACACGACAGACATGTTTATGTCAAAGTGGGACAGTCGCAAGCTCAAACGCAGGCCCGGTCGAGGAAAATAACTTATTACGAAGAAACGATCATTATTTTCAAACCGTACGTCGGAATTGGGCGAATTATATATGAAAATCGACTATCTCGACGAAACGGAGCCAACAAAACCAACCCTGGTTTGCTTCCTCTGTTTCGCCAAATTCCTTACAGTTTGAGAGATATTTGTATTTTTGTCCGTTTTTTACTATTTTTAGTAATGTTTTAGGAGTCTGTATTGATTAGGAAACAAATCCGATTTGATCTCAGATTTGACCGGTGGACTTTCCTAGTCATAAGGAGTCTTTTTAGGAGTTTTAATGTTTTAGAAGTTCTTTTACTATTTTTGGTAAAGTTTGAGTTCTTGTAGGAGTTTGAGTTCTTGTAGAAGTCTTGTTTCTTTTTCTATTTATAAGTAGAGTCTTGTAAGCCCTAGAGGCATAACTTTTAATTAATAAAATTTTGTTTTTTTTCCTTCAATATTAACTTCGTGGATTCAAGTGGATTCCAAGACTACTACTTCCGCGCTGCGTCAGGTTGTGATTGAGGACTGAGGTTTAAACAGGGGATAACAGATAAAAGAGGCTTCACGTTCACTCAAACATCTCAATAACACAAAATTCATTCATCAAATCAATCATCTCTACCGCATTACACAAATATAATCCCTCAATAGAGTTTGGAAATCTTATCTAAACAAATTAAAAAACTAATCCTATCTCTAAAAACAATTCAACCTTATCTATCAAAATAATTCAACAAACTCAATCTAATCCTAACACAATTAAAGTCTAAACAACATAATAAATGATAAAAACCTAATCCATCTAAATGTAAACTAATTTTTGATGGCGCAGGTATTGAAATTTGCTACAGAAAACTGAAGCCAACTCAAAAAATAAGCAAAAATCAAATATAAACCCTTTTATGAACCTTAATATGCAAAATGGAGCAAAAATCAGTTATTATGCCCTATCAATTGAAAGCAGGATTAGCAACTAAATGACATCATGTCATTAGGCACGCGTCCATCATTTTAATAAGAATAAGCATCTGAATGAAAATGATATAATGGGTAATTATTTTGGAACTGGGATTAGCAAGTAAACATAGCTAGAAGCCAAATCATGTTAGGCCCACTTTAGGAGTTGTCAGGGAGATTGCAAATGAAATTGATATAATGGGTAATTATTTTGCCTAGCTGGTCAAGTGAGGTTATGAAATAAGGGGGAAGAAATGCACCGACCTCTCTCCAGCCCATAGAGCTAAGTTATCTGTAAATATCATAATTTTGTTCCCAACAATGAAACAGTAGAGTATATGGACAGGAAATTTAGTTTTATACGGTGCAGCCATGCATAAAGCAATAAGCAGAGGTTAGATCGGATGGAAGGGTAGAAAATGACCTTGTATTTAATGGCAGATGCCCTTTTGTGCTTGACTTACTGTCATCAATAAGACCATCTGAGAGTTCTTCAAGATTGGATAAACGCCCACTTCCATCCTCGCTTTGTTCATTGCGTGTAAGGTCCTCACCATCAGAACTAGTTGCTGATAATTGTTCAGATGCAAATTTCTTGTCATTATCCTCGCTTTGTTCATTGCGTGTAAGGCATTCACCATCAGAAGTAGTCCCCGATAAGCATTCATGTTTATCATTAGCTGCCGTTTCATTGTTGCCTTGAGTGAAAAGACTGTTCTTCTTAATAACCTCAGTACTCTCCGTAGTGGTAGATTGGACTTCCGTGGGCTGAGAATGCTGTATAGGACGATGACCAGATGTTGGGACCCACTTTGGCAAGTCATTAAGTCTCCGTATTTTGTCACCCTAAACAAGGAAAAATGAATGAACAAAAAGAAGAGCAAAGGGCGCACACTTTTTTCAGAAAATAAATTCTAGTGGATGACTACAAATTAAGATGAAAAAAGGAAAATCAAGTAAATTTAAAATGAAAAAACGAGATAAAGAACCTGCACTTCTATGGAATTAGATCTCTGCAAAGCTTCCAGAATAAAATCAATCATCATTTTCTTTACCTGTAGAATGAAACAAAGCAAACATTAAGATGGCAAATAATATTCAGATATAATAATCAAATGTGCACACTGGAATTGTCCAGCGTAAATTCGAAGCCTCGCTGTTTCTTGTGCCTTTTAGGAATTCGCCACAAATTAACTGTTAAAACTCGATTAAATTTTTTGAAGCTTCTTATGCTCGATGGTCTACCCCATTGTGATGGGAGAAAGTTTAAAGGACAGTAGTAATGATGACTGTGATGTGTATTCACTCATAAGTCATAATGAACAAATCATGAGCATAGCACTGTAGAAAAAGAATGATTGGCATCGTCATAGAGCGTACCCTATTGAAATCTGCAATTTTTTTAATGGGAACCCATCCCTGTTCATCTTGTAAATTCTGCAAGTAATAGTCCGTTGGCAAATTTTCATCACTGCAAAAGAAGTGTCATTACATTATAAATAGTCTGGAAAAATAGTACAATAAAAATAATCGTGATACGGCTACTTGTCATTCACTGTAAGAAGGAAAAAAAATCTAGTGGTACACATTCTAACTGAAAGATTTTTCCTTTTTGTAATGTATTGTAACTGTACAGCTCAATGTTACAGACAAAAAGTCCTCCTTGATGTAAATTTTTCGGACATGAAGACGCCTGGAACAAGAAAACGTTTCATATCTAAATTAAAAAGAACTCACCTGAAATAGTACTCAATCTGTTTTACAATTCTGGCTCCCAAATCAGGTGCTTCTTCTGTTGGAAAGGCATGTGTAAGAAGATGAGGCTTTGAAACAAGGTTTAGATATGCCCGTTATAAGACGGGAAGAGTGCATCCTATCATTTTTGCTACAATATTACAAGTGAGAACAAACACACATTCAGAGAGAGAAAGAGATAGAATACTGAAAAGAAAGATAACAACATCTGAAATTGATCATGTAGGTTTGTAAATTTACCAGGTTAGCCAGGATAGCCAGACTGGTCTTTATACAGAGAGAGAAAGAGATTGAATAATGAAAACAAAGATAACAACACACACACACACATACAGAGAGAGAGAGAGAGAGAGAGAGAGAGAGAGAGAGAGAGAATACTACAAGTGCGAACACACGCATATGTAGAGAGAGAGATAGAATAATGAAAACAAAGATAACAACAACTGAAATTGATCATGTAGGTTTGTAAAAATACCAGGATAGCCAGACCAGTCATTATACCCTGAAGCTGGAGCATACTGTGATACTTGGCTGATCATAGGCCCATGTGCCGCACCATGTGGCATATTCATATTGTCACTCGGAGGAAATGCTTGTTGATGGCCCCATGTCTGATTGAAGTGTGGGCCAGCATGGCTGCCGTCTGCCAGAAGCTGGAAATTTCTATTTCTATCAATTGCATCTAATTGACCAGTTAGAAGGAAAGGTGGCCTGGAAGATTGTCCAGACGTTATGATGTAGGGGACGGTAGGAATTGCTGCAGGGTAAGCCCCATAGCCATAACCATGAAACTTAAAGGGTTGATGGTATGACACTTGTTGTCCTGGCTGTTGGTAAGTAGAAGGATCACTCTGTTGGTAAGTAGAAGGATTAGTGAGTGGTGGCATATCATTTGGAGGGAGATTATGCTTTGGATCAGACTTGGGAGAATATGCATGATGCTGCCTATTGGAATGACTGTCACTTCCAAGCCCATCACTTCTGCGTTGGTCAACTGATCCCTGGAAGAAGACACATAACTATTAATTATGCATACAATGAAGTAAGACAAATCAAGGTAACATCTGATCTAGTACATGAATAACACAACTAAGTTAACGTAGAAAAACAGAACCCAGTTGTAACAATAAAGTAAGGTTTATTTCATTAGACTCCCAGGTTATACCTGCTGAAATGTTTTAAAACTGACATTCATTGGAGACAATTGATGACAGGTCGTAGCTAACTTGGACCTTTTACCTAACACAAATTTTCTCCTGCAGACATTGGAATAACATGAAAGTGTTTTCGGGTCTTTCTTTCCTTTTTTAAGCATGGTAGCAGCAGTATGTTCTTCTACCTTTCCCTTGACATTAACTGATTTCAACAAAAAGAAGAAGTGTGGGTTTCTAAAAGAATTAACTAATTCTTTCCTAACACTAACAATATGCAGTTAACGAGAAATAACAGAAACTTTGTGCTCAATAGAATAAATGAAATACAGGAAACATACACCCCCAAACTTGAACATCTATATTTCAAACAGTGATTCCATTTTCTATATGACAAAAAGAAAAATAATACAATGGTTTACGTTCTTGATAACTGGACAATGATAAATATCTTCCGATTTGGTTTCTCCTCTTACCCTAAGCATTACCTATATAATTCTGAAAAAACTCAATTATACTAAGATTAGAATAAAAGATTCATATATAAAATATCTAAACAGGAACCTCCAAAAAAAAAAATCAATGCCAGAAAGGCCACATCAGCAACCGCCCACTATCAAACAAGACAGTATTGGTCCTCATCCGTGCTGTCAAAAATGAAAATTATTAGCATAAAAATCCGAAAATAAAGAATTAGAAATTCTGGCCTGAGCAGGAGCAGTCGTGTAAACACTATCCTAGAAGATTAAAGACCCGTCTATCACCGTGGCACAGATGGTCCTCTCTCCCCTAGCGGTAAAACCCCCCAGAATCTGGCCGTCCTCTGAACTCAGGCGAGAGTGACAGAGCTTCTGCTCAGATGAAGAACGTTTCCCAAAAAACAAAACCAATTGAACTGTAGCCAACAATTTTAGAAGGAGAGAGAGAGCTCGGTTTTAAGAGGAAGAGAAGAATTTTTTTTTTGTGTTTTTCTCGAACTGATCAGCCCTCTATTTATAGGGTTTACAAACCCAAAGACGTTGCTAACAATCCGCGCACGTTCTCCTCAATCGCGTAACCCCCGCATGATCTCCGCAGCCGTTGCGTGACTAAGTCAAAACGTGTAAAATGTGCAAAAAAAGGCTGGAGAAATAAAAAGAACACGTGCGCGTGCATCACGGCAAGACGAGGTGAAGCGTGGCATGCGCGCGTGTTGTGTTATGCAAAGCCCACCCAGTACAAAACCCAAAACATTACTCAAAGCCCAATAAGAGGTGTTCCAATATAAACCCCTTAATATTCATCTCAATTTCCATTGTGGGACTATTCACAAAGGTAAAAATTGCCTTTTTCTCAAACAACATAGCTAACAGTCCCCCCCTCCCCAAAATACAATATTTGATTGAAAACTCAAAAATCAATAAATAAATCAATAAATCATAAAATAAATATATGTTGAGCAACCTTTTGTATCGTAAATTCGGAAGAACTTTCGGCTTTGAACTTTTTCTTAGTGAGTTCATCGCCACCTGAGGGATATAATGGACTAGACCTTGAATTAGGCCTCTTGAACCAGGTACTGATAAAAACACACACAATACGTCTTCATCTATTGAGCAAAGGGGGTTGAGCGTTAAAGGTCATGCTTACAATAAACCGACTCATAAGAGTTTTTAGTGGTTAGCCCAGTCCCCCCCAACCACGGTCATCACGGTTTCTCTCACGTAGGTAAGTCCTCCAAGGGTTCTATAGCTGGATATCATACCCTTCGTAATACACGCGTTGGACTTATTAAGAGTAAAACTCAGCTTAACCAGCTGTATCATAAGAGCATCATCACCATAGAGAAGGGGTAGTAGCGGATGTTACATAATGATATATAAATATATCTAGGTCGATACTCCACACGAGTGTCACTAGTCCAGCTTGTTTCTACCACATTGAACCTACAGTGGGACTAAGTCTTCAAATAAAAGTTGGGTTATCACTGTCAGTGATCTTACTTATGGGCTTAACCACATCTCTCTCGATGAACTCAGAACCACACTTCTGGATAAACCCTTAGTCAAAGGGTCAGCAAGATTCTTCTCAGACTTTATAAAGTCTAAGATCATAACTTTGCCTAGCAGGCGTTATACAGATTTATATCTTATTTGAATGTCTGTTTAGTTTTTTATTTACATGCACTTGTTTTAGAAGCTCTATGGTAGATCTAGAATCAGAATGAATAGAAATTGGAGGTGAAGGTTTAGGGACCAAAGAAAGTTCAGAAAGTAGATCTTTTGATCATTCTGTTTCTATACAAATGGTATCAAGAGCAATCAATTCAGATTCTATAGTGCTTCTGGCAATTACTGTTTGCTTACAGGATTTTCAAGATACAACAACACCATCAAAAAGAAATCCATATCCAGATGTAGGCTTTACACTGTTAGAATCTGTGACCCAGTTAGTGTCACTATATCCTTCTATGGCATCAGGGTATCCAGTGAAAGTCAAGCAATAGTCAACCGTGCCTTTTAAGTATTTAAATACTCTTTCTAAGGCAAACCGGTGATCTTTGCTAGGGTTACTGGTATATCGGCTCAGTCTTCATATAGCATAAGCTATATCGGGTCTGGTCTGGTTAGATATGCATAGGAGAGATCCAATCAGCTGAGAATACTTCAGCTGGGAGACAGGTTCACCTTCATTCTTCTTTAAAGATATAGAAGAATCATAAGGCGTGGAGACAAGTTTAGAGTCATGAAAATTGAATTTGATTAACATTTTCTCAATACTATGAGAAAGACTCAAGGATATTTCTCTAGTGTCTCTAGTGATTTTCACTCCAAGTATCATGTCGGCAAGACCTAAGTCTTTCATGACAAATTTCTTGGAGAGATAATTCTTAATCTTTGAAATTAATTCAAGAGTTGATCCAAAGATAATGATATCATCAACATAGAGACAGAGAATGACATAGTCATTGTTTATCAATTTAGAATAAACACACTTGTCGTGTTCATTCACAGTGAAGCCATATTGTGCAATGACTCTGTTAAATTTCTGGTGCCATTGTTTAGGAGCTTGTTTAAGACCATATAAAGATTTAACAAGTTTGCAGATTTTATTTTCCTGACCCTTGGCAATGAAGCCTTCAGGTCAGTGCATATAGATTTCTTCATCTAGATCACCATTCAGGAAAATAGTTTTGACATTCATCTGATGTATGATCAGCTTATGAATAGCAGCAAAGGGTAATAATACTCGGATAGTTGAGATTCGGGCTACAGGAGAATATATATCAAAGTAATCCATGTTATTTTACTGAGTATAGCCTTTAGCTACTAATCTAGCTTCATATTTATCAATGGAACCATCAGGTCTAAGTTTCTTCTTGAATATCTACTTATTACCAACAGGTTTACAACTTGGAGGCAAGTCGTTGAGTATCCAAGTATGGTTTTCCATGATAGATTTTATCTCATTATCAATGACCTCTTTTTAGAAAGGAGATTCAGATGAATCCATTGCTTTCTTGAATGAGCTTGGATCACCTTTAACAATAAAGATAAAGAAGTCTTCTCCAAAATCCTTTTGAATTCTATCTCTTTTACTTCTTCGAGGTTCAATATCTAAAGGTTGAGAAGAACTGGAAGATGATAGATCAGAAAGAAGAGATGAACTAGGAATTTCTGATATTTTGGATTTGAAAGGAAATATGTTTTTAAAATAGATTACATCTTTTGCTTCAATGATAGTGTGTTGTTGAATATATCACTGATTTCAGAGTTAATGACTAGAAATCTATTAACATTGCTATCTAGTGCATATCCAATAAAAGCAGCATCAACAGTCTTAGAACCAATTTTCCTCTTCTTAGGTTCGGGAATAGCTATCTTAATCAAGCAACCCCAAACCGAGAAGAAGTTCAGATTAGGAGTTCTCCCTTTTCAATATTCATAAGGGGTTATATCAGAATGTTTGTGGGAAATTCTATTGAGAATGAAGCAGGTAGAAAGAAGAGCTTCACCCCATAGATTTTTAGGTGCTCTTGAACTAAGTAACATACAGTTCACAATGTTCATAAGGGTTCTGTTTTTTCGTTCAGCTACCCTGTTAGACTGTGGTGTATAAGGAGCAATTAACTTATGAATAATATCGTGTTCTTGACAATATTCAGTCATATCATTTAAGGTATACTCCCTCCATGATCATATTTTAGAATCTTGATCTTTCTGTTAATTTTGTTCTCAGATTCAGCTTTATACACCCTAAACATATCTAAAACTTCATCCTTAGTCTTGAGAAGATAGGTGTAATAATATCTGGAGTGATCGTCTATAAATATCATAAAATATCTCCTACCCCCTCGAGTGAGAACTCGGTTTGAGTCACACACATCACTATGAATTAATTCGAGAGGTTCGGAGTTTCTAGTTATAGACTTGAAGGGTTTTTTAGTGTGTTTCCCTTGAACACAAATCTCACACTTAGATGAGGGATTATGAGATGATTTAGGAATAAGGTTCAATTTAATCGTTCTCTGCAAGGTTTGGAAATTGACATGTCCAAGTCGTCTATGCCAAACATCACAAGACTCAACAATTTGTGCAACAGAAGACTCAAAAATTTTATTAGAATTGAATTGATTACATTGAGCTTGAAAAGACCATTACAAGTAAAATATTTTCCTATGAATACATTGTTCTTTGTAATCATAAATTTATTGGATTTCACTAATCAGGTTGCGGCGGAGAGAAGGAATATGATGAACGCCTTGCAGATTCAGAGCTCTTCCAGAGGTCATGGTGAGATCTATGCATCCACTTCTCATTATTTGTTTGGTGGAGTCTCTTCCAAGCTTATGTTTTCTCCACGTGATCCTGATAATTTGAAAACCAAGAGCGATCATTACAAATATGAATATTAGCTCCGGAGTCTAAGTACCTGTCAGTGAAAGAAGTAAGAGAATTTACTAGATAGGATGAAGAGGCTAACCTGAAGGAATTTGGATTCTCTTCAATCATGTTAACTTTATTGGATCCATTTTCTTTAGGAGCCGGTTTGGCCGGTTCCTTCTTTTGATAGAAACAGTTAGGAGTCAGGTGGTTAGTTCTACCACAGACATAGCAAAATTTTTCATCAGACTTATGGCTGGAAGAGTTGGGATTGGATTTGGAAGATGATTTGTTGAAGGACTGCTGGTTTTTTCTTGAATTTCTTTCATTTCGGTTTGAAATTCCTAGATTTAGGCTTATCATTTACCAAGTTCACTTTAGCTTTCATTTCAGACTTGGATTTAAAATTTTGCCTATGTTGGTCTTTAATTCGTATAGCCTTAAGAGTTTCAGTTAATGTTAGATCTCCTTGCTTGTGTCGGAGATCTCTAGCAAATCAAGATCAGGAGGGAGGGAGTTTATCAATCAAACAGGAAATTTTAAAGTCATCAGTAAAGGAGTTTCATTTTGATTGGAGGTGACGGAGAAAATCTTGGAATTCATGAATTTGTTCATTAATGAGTTTGTCATCAACCATCATGAACTTATTAAAGGAAGAGGAGGTGAAACGCAAAATTTCAGCATCATCATAGCCATATTCTGCTTCAAAAGCATTCCATAGGTCTTTAGCACTTTTGAACTCATAATAAATGTCATAAAGATTGTCCGTAAGTACACTAAGAATCTTATGGCAATAATGATAACTGGTTTTTTTCTGGTTTCATAGAGCTGAAAAAGGAGATAGCACCAGAACCAAAAGTGGAAGGAACAGGTTGCTCAGGATCGGGAGTCAAGGGTTGAGAACCACTAGAAGAAGACTCGGGAGTGTCTATGGCAGTTGAGAGACCTAGGGTGGTGAGCCAGTATCTCATCTGATTAGCCTACCGTTTGTAGTTAACTCCGATAAACTTTTTAGGTTTGACACTCTTTGAATGATCAGGGTTAACCATAAGTCCGATTGAAGTTTACTAGTCTAGGTATTTAGAATCTGATCGAACAAATATTTTTGGTAATACCACTAGACCAAATACTTAGGCGTATGACTTTGATCAATAAATTTGAATAGTAAAATTAGAATAATATGATTCTAATACAGAAAATAATTTAAGCAATAACTGATTTTTTTTCTAGTTAAACAGTAACAAATAAACAATATTAATTAAAGCAACAAAAAAATTTGTGAACAGTAACTTTTTTATTTTTTTATGGTAACTACTTAATAATATTAATTAATAGATAAGCAAACAAGTAATTACAATTAATGATTTCGGATGAATTTTTAATGAACAGTAGCAAAAGTTTTGGGTGAACAGTAAAATTCGATGAACAGTAAAATTTTCCCCTTTTAAATTAACAGGACTAAAAGCAATTAATTATAAATAAAATTATTTCGGATTTAATAAATCAACAGCTATAATATTCAATCTTCTAGATTGCAGTCAAAAATGAAAATTATTAGCATAAAAATTCCAAAAATAAAGAATTAGAAATTCTGGCTTGATCGGGAGCAGATGTGTAAACATTGTCCTAGAAGATTGAAGACCCGCCTATCGTCATGGCGCAGATGGTCCTTTCTCTCCTAGCGGTAAAAACCCCCGGAATTCGGTCAGCCTCTGAACTCATGTGAGAGTGGCAGAGATTCTGCTCAGATGAAGAATGTTGCCCAAAAAACAAAACCAATTGAACTGTAGCTGGCAATTTTAGAAGGAGAGAGAGAGAGAGCTCGGTTTTAAGAGGAAGAGAAGAATTTTTTTTCCTGTGTTTTTCTCGAACTGATCAGCCCTCTATTTATAGGGTTTACAAACCCAGAGACGTTGCTAACAATCCGCACACGTTCTTCTCAATCGCGTAACTCCTGCATGATCTCCACAGCCGTTGCATGACCGAGTCAAAACGTGTAAAACGTGCAAAAAAATAAAAAGAATACGTGCGCATGCGGCGAGGCGCGTGTCGCGGCGAGACGTGCGTGCACGCGCGTGTGTTATGCAAAGCCCACCCAATACAAAACCCAAAACATTACTCAAAACCCAATAAGAAGTGTTCCAATATAAACCCCTTAATATTCATCTCAATTTTCAACGTGGGACTATTCACAAAGACAAAAATTGCCTTTTCCCAAACAACATAGCTAACAATCTGTACTCTAGATTATAAAGTCTGGCCTGTATTAAAACTGAGATTCAATAAAAATCACGTTTAATATACATATTATCTGCACGTTCCAAGTGGGTTTCGACTTTCGACTCAAAGCTCAATAGCCTAAAGTAGAAAGCAATCAAAAATCTACAACACAAGAAAAGGCAATCTTTGACTGATCCATCACACAATACCCAAAACCACTTAAATTCACGACTTAAAATAAAGAATGTTGCAGAAGCAGACTATTTGGAATCTACGTTTCTAATAATTGCTTCGACTCGAAACCCCATTAAAACCTAAACAAGAAAATCCTCAAGATGATCACGAAGATACAATCTACTTCTAGCGTCCAATTCTCAGCAATTCTACCCCGTAGCCCACAACGAAATTCCTCAAGATAATCATGAAGATACAAATAAGAAAATCATCAAGATAATTATCAAGATAATCACAAGACCTAAAAAAAGAAAATCACCAAGATAATCATCAAGATTCGGTCTAATGTTCATATACCGGAACAGGAGAGCGCCGCGGCAGATAATCATGAAGATACAAATAAGAAAATCATCAAGATAATTATCAAGATAATCACAAGACCTAAAAAAAGAAAATCACCAAGATAATCATCAAGATTCGGTCTAATGTTCATATACCCGAACAGGAGAGCGCTGCGGCGGCCACGCTGCTCGGGACGCATTCGCCGGAGTCCCAGGAGCTGCGCGTCCCGTATTGGCATCGGAGAGCGCCGGAGATTTCTCCGGACCCGTAGCCTGCCGCTTAGCCTCCTCCGCTGCCTCCTCCGTCGTCGTCGTCTTCTTCTCCTCCTCCTTCTTGTTCGCCATCGTCGTCCCGCGCAGCTCAGAATCTAGTGAAGAGGACCGGAACCTCACGCGAGATTAGGGAATGGATTCGCTGTGATCTCGAAGGAATCAGCCATTTCTAGGGTTTTGGAGATCCAAGGCGGGATTAGGGCTTTTGAGAGCTCTGTGGAGAGTGAGAGCTTTTGATGGAGGGGGAGAGGGAAAAAGGGGGGGGAAACGAGATTTGTAATAAAGTCGTTAGGAAACTGGGGTGTCTTGTGTAAAGGAATGTTATGTGCAATAAGTGGCTTGTTAGTGGCGTTAATGGTAAGTCTTATTTTGTTTGGAGGGTTCTTTTCTGTATCGGTCTCATACATATTTTAAAATCAGACCTTCAAATAATTAAGATTGTTAGTGGGTCCCCCGTATCTTGTTATTTTTTCAAGACTAGAAGGATTAATTTGCAAGAACTTATAGAAAGATGGGCCTAGTAGTAATTCCAGTGATTTGAGGAATTAATTTTAATGTTGAAACAACCAAGAAATAGAGGCAGATAGCAATTTCAATGATTTAAGAGATTAATTTTATAATATTATAGAAAAACAAGTCATGCGGGTGTCTGTGTGGGTTTTTTGTAAATGTGCAAGAATTAGGTTGTTAGATAGATAAACGACATGAAAAGAAAATGGAAGTTATTTTCAAGATCTCTTTCTTGCACAAATCTTTCATAAATCTAAATAAGGCCCTCAAATTATTAAAATTGCTGTAATATCTTCCAGCTTTATAATATGTTTCAAATCAGTCTTTTAATAACTGAAATTGTTGTTTCTTTTTTCTTTTCTTTTTTTGTATGTGTGTAAATTTGTAGTAATCTAACCATATAGTTTGTTTATTTTGGGTCTATCTTGCTTCTTGGTTTATTGATGTTAGGGATTTGTTGTTCACAAACAAAAAGTTCTGTTCCCATTTATTTTTCAGACATACTTACTTCCAAAATAACTCTTAATCCCAGAGTAGCAATTAAATTATTTATAGATCACTCACTTCTAAAATGAGTCTGATCACTTTTAAATGATATTAGAGCAAACCATATTTAAAATCCCGCAAGCCAATTTGAGAGGAGTCATTAAAATGACCGTTCAGTAATATGTTGTAAAATACTTATAATTCATATACTAGTATTTGTAAATATTGTTTTATGCAAGAAGCTTTTGGCCTATAAAGTTGATATACTTGCATTTTTGTTCATCTCTAGACGCCAACTTGTATCTTGTTCTCTTTAATTGATAGATATGCATATATAGTTTTATTATGACACTAGGTTTGACGTGAATTGAATGGCGTTCTCATGTTTCATAATCAATTTTATGAACAAAATAATGTTGAGGGTAGAAAAATTCAGAATTTTTGGAGTATGATCATTGATTGAACGTACTTCTAACTTCAATCATTGATTTAAACATACTTCTAACTTCAACTATCAAGTATGGTCTAATTCTATTTGAGTTTTTAGTATCAGTTGCAGTATATTTTAACATAATTTTAATTATATCACGTATGGTTTAATTCTAATTTTTAACTTTCAATTAATTACTTAATGATAGCGAGTTTTTTATTTAACATGAACTAACATTCAATTGACAATGTTAATAGGAATTTAATTGTATATTGTCAAAATTGAAAGGATAAAAGAGTCATCTAACATGAGTTAGTATTTGATCATTCGGTAATCGATGAAATTATGAGTTATCCAAGTTTTAAGGGTAGAAAGTCAATGGAGAGTTTGACATAGATGTTAGATATCAGTGGTATTTAGATTTATGAGATATTATGAAACGTGATTGGATATGATTTTATCCAATACCTATTTATTACATCTTCTTAAGGGTTACATGAATAATAATTTTGCTTTTTTTTTATTTCTCTACAATAGCGATCCTCGTTTATAAGTAGTATATATATATAGATTTTGACACTCCTTACCAGATTGAAAACATGAATCGATAACAATTCACCCATATATCTTTCTCAATTCACGTAAATTTCTAAACATCGGAAACTTCGCCTAGAACCATAAAAATGGCGCATAACGTCGAATTGAAACAGTTTTTATGTGGTTAACCCTCCGATTTAACGCCTTGCATCATTGTAACTGACGATAGCGTTGAAAAGAACCAATGAAGACTTATTTTTCAGAAACTTTGAACCAACATATTCAGGCCTCTATGGAACTCCCCCATGAATCGTCCGCCGAGCCTTCAACTCAAATTTCATCCACGGGCTCCGACTGCGATCCCGACACCGACCAAACAAAGGCCCGGGAAAATATATGCGCAATAATCCCCGTCACGTCGAAACCGAGTGAATTCGACCCAGAAATAGCACTCTACCATCGAGACTGTCGGCTCTCGACCAAATCCCGGAACTAAAATCAGACTTCAACACTCTTAGCACACCCGTCGACGCTATTGCCTCGACTAAGAATGCATTCCCGTTAGACTCAACCAAGACGCGCCACATACGAGAAACATCAACCCCAGGCCCTGCGGCCACGAGAAGGTTGGGCACCGACAGCTAGCTGATATCAATTGCAATCTGTAAGAAGGTTTGCAATAAAACTTTCCATTACGGAATACTATCGATCCTGCCAATTGCCGCTGCAGCAGGTCGACTACACGCAGCACGGAAACGGATGTGATCGGAGATTGGAAGGTGATCGAGAATTGTTTTTGAGGCATATATCACTCGGGAGATCCTACCAGCCCATCGATTAAAAGAAGTTTCTTAATTATTTCTTTTTATGGGCGACGGGAGCTATTTGCAGAACCCATGGAGTACTCCTTGACAACATGTAATTTGTCTTGATTGCTCATCTTCATACCTACCTGACTTTCATCAAGCTTTCTAATTATATGTTTTCCTTATCAATTGAATCTTTTTTCCTTGACTAATTAGCTTGTTAGATTCTTTAGGCCACTGCTTTTTACTTTTTTTAATAGTGAGGTTGCTATTTTAAAATAGTGCGGACTCACCGTCTTGGCTCATG